ACATAAAGAATCACAAGCCCATGTAAAAGCTGCTGACATCCTTACATCTGCTTCACGTGAAACTATTCAACATCAAGTGCAGTCTATGCATACATCTGAATTAGACACCACTATCAGAGTTTTTCGAACGGCATATAAAATTGGCAAACATAGCCGGCCATTCACAGACATGCCAATTGATTTGAATGTACAGAAACTGAATGGGCTGAACATGGGCAGGGTTTTGCACTCCAATAAAACCTGTGGCGAAATCATCGACCACATAGCTCATGAGCTGAAGAAAAAAATGGCAAAAGACATTACAGAAAACCAAAGAAAACTCTGTGTTTTGGTCGATGAATCTACCACTATTAGTGGTAAAACGGTGCTTGTTGTGTGTCTACGCTCAGCATTAGCTGATGCTGAGCCCGAAACGTTTTTTTGGGAGCTGATCGAGTTGGATGGAACAACGGCTGATGACATCACAAAGGCGTTAATGGAGTGTCTTGGAAGAGATTTTAACGAGGACTTTTTAGGTCAGTGTTTCGTTTCTTTTGCATGTGATGGGGCTTCAGTCATGCTAGGGAAGAGAACAGGCGTTGCTACCCAGTTGTGTAGTAATTCCCAAGCCTGTTTGTGTGGCACTGCTCCAATCATCGTCTAGAGCTGGCAGTTGGGGATGTGGTCAAGGAGGTCTCAGGGCTCAATCATTTCCAGATCTTTTTTGACAAACTCTATTCCTTGTTCCATGCCTCCCCCAAAAATCAGAGGCAGTTAGCGCAGTGTGCGCAAGCAGTCGGACAGCGTCTCCTGGTGATAGGGTGTGTTTTGTCCATCCGCTGGGTGGCTTCAAGTGAAAGGAGCGTCAGAGCAGTCTGGGAAAACTACCGAGTGCTTCATGATCACTTCACAAATGCTGCAAACGACACGAGCAGGGATTCCAGAGACAGAGCAAAGTACAAGGGCCTGGATGATGTGCTCACATCTGCAACGTTTGTCAGCAATCTGGGACTGATGTACGATGCGCTCACAGAGCTCAGCGACCTCTCTCGGCAACTCCAAAAAAGAGAGATGACACTGCCTACAGCAGATAGGCTCTTAACTCGAGAAATACGAGTTTTTGAATCCATGGTCACCATGCCTGGCCCACACATGACTACAGTTCATACAGCTCTAGCTGAGAAGTCCTTCAAGGGTGTTGCCCTGCGTGGCAGGCTTGTACAGATTCATGCAGGTCAGTTTTTCCGCAGTATGGTAGAGAATCTGAGACACAGAATGACTTCCACAACCTCCTCTCATGTCAGCACAAGAGAAATCCCATTACATGGCCGGGAGGCCCGGGACAATCAGCTAATCCAGGACATGAAAGTTATCCATCCTGGAAGTTGGCCTGAAGAGGAGTTAGACGTACAATATGGGGACGTAGAGGTGCTACGTTTGTGCGAAGTGCTGAAAGTGGACAGAAGAGAGACTGTTCAGGGCTTTCGCGAATACAAGGAAACCAGGGCATCCCGTACACCTGCTGCCATGGAGCCTTTACTGAAAGCAGTCCGAACCATCGCTGTCTCCACTAGTGAGTGTGAGCGGGCATTCAGCTGCATGAACGATATCCTTACTGCAAAAAGGAATGCTCTCTCTGTCAGCCGACTGTCCAGCCTGGTTTTCATTAAATGTAATGGACCATCACTAGGACAGTTCAATCCCGAACAGTATGTGAGGTCCTGGCTGGCAAAGGGAAGGAGAAGTGCTGATGAAAGAGCCTGTCCAGCTCCAGCCCCTGATACTGATGTCCCCAAGGCCTTCTGGAGCCTTTTCTAACAATGTGAAGTATATTGCAAAGCAGCTCACCCAGTGAGAAGACTTTTGGCATAATGTGCCGATTTGTACAGATCCTGGAGATAGAAGGACTTCAGACCAACCAGGGAGTTATCTGATCAGCTTGGTGTTCAATGTAACTCTTTACCATGGCTCAGACTTTGTTACTTGCAGTTACAGTTTCTCATTTTAGATTGTGCAAATTTTGCATTTGTTTTTACATGTTCTTTGTTCATGCTCTTTATCATTTTTCTGAGTTGGAAAGTTAGATTGCATCATAGTTTACTTTATACATATTTGTATTCTTCAGTGGTGAAGTATATTGCAAAGCAGCTCAGCCATGTGAGAAGACTTTTGGCACTTTTTCGTTTTTTGAGTTGGAAAGTTAGATTGCATTCAAAATGTACAGAAATACTTAATTTTGTTAAAGCTTTTTATAAAAAATGCTTCTGACCAGAGCTTTGTTTCCTTGTCATTAATGTTGAACACCACCAGAGGGGCTCTCACCTGAAAGGTCTCTGCTTCATGTGTCTTCAGCAGAAGATCTAGACTTTGATTGCTATATTTTCAGTTAATATTGACCTTACTGAGCTTTAGCCATATCCGCTGCCTATCATAAAAAATGTTAAGTACAGTGAACCTTTCTAAAATATACAGTAGTAAAGAGACAAACCCACCAGCATTATAGTAGCCAAATTCTTGTTTGTGGGCTGTATATATAAAATTGACTTGAAAAAGTTGCTGATTTTAGAGTACTGGCACCTTTTTCATTCCAATTCAAGCACTGGTTGTAGTGTTAAAATCAGTAGGTTTCGGTGTGCAACACTCCGTGTGCATTCACACTCACCTCTGTAGGATAAGGAATATTAGCCACATGCTAAATGCTAACCGGAGATGAAGGTTTTTCAGAATAAAAGCTTGGCATTAAGATTGTGCGAGAACTTCTGGTTTTTCAGAATAAAACAGCATTTAAGCTGACGGTATGTTTAAACTACATTTTGCCATAAAACATTGATTTTAATTTCTAACACTAATCCTTACAGTATAAGTGTAAGGCTCACACTTACACTTACAGTCATTGCTTTCTGACGGACTTGACCCTTTTACTCTTCAGGCTGCATAGGGAAAATTAGTGGCAGTATACTCATGGATGTCTACTGGTCTACTGCCATTCTATTCAGTTCACGTTCTCCTACTTCCTGTACCCGGTTTCCTGTCTAACCTTTAGTACAAATTTTACAAAAATATAAATGTGCAAATATGAAACATACAGGTCAATATCACCTTGCTTATTGGTAGCAATACCCCAAAACATATTATAAGATATAAATACCTAATTTTGAGTTATTCAGACACAATTAACACTTATAGTTTCATGTCTTGTTCCATAACAATAGATCATATTTGTTAAGTGTTATTATGGGAGAATAACTATTCTTGTGGTACTACTGCCTTAGGCTATTAGGCCCATATTGAGCAGTGTATATCAAGACCAAAACGCATGTACAACAACTTCCTTACTTGCAATAAATAAGCACTAATTAGAGGGTTATAGAGGAAAAACTCTCAACTAATGGCTTATTACTTAGAATATGGTCATGTAGAATAAGGCATTAATAAGTGTTTTATAATGAATAATAAAGAGCCAATATACTGCTAATATGCATGTTAATTAACAACTAGTTGATGGTTGATTTGTGTACCTTAATATAAAGTGTTACCGAAAAAAAGATTGAAAAAATACAGATGTCAGTATTCTGAGGCTCTGAACCCCATTTATTTTCCTCCCGGACGGCAAAAAAAGTCCGACATTATACGAATTAAAATAAAAACAATAATCGTGGCTTGGTATTGAGTATAAACATGTTTTTATGAACCACACAGCTTCCAGTCTTCCAAGACCCGACCGGACAAAAAGACGTGTTGCATGCACGAAACACACTACCAATAGAAATACATTGCTTTTAAAATCGTTCTGTGTGACACGAAAAAAAGGGGGAAATCGTGAAATGCCGTGAGACTGGGTTGTTTTATCAGTAACTGCTTTGGGAATACAGGGCATTTTTCAGGTTATATAAATGAAGAGCAGAAACACACGTTGCTCTGAAAAGGAAAGCAAATCAAGGGTTTCAGTTGAGATTTCTACAGTATCTATTTCATTACTCTAAGTCAATGGACATATGTCATCTCACACACATACGCTGGCATTCTGCTCTGCAGCAGCAGCAAAGGAAGTGTGTGTTTTCTTGAATTAGCTTTAGTCCTACATTTAAACATGTCCATTGAAAAGGCTGCTCTCAGTTCACATCCAGGAACAAGACTGAGTATTTTATCCTTTCACTTTGATGAAGGGTCCATTCAGAGTCATGGTGAATGCTTATCTCGACTTGGCTCAAACAGGAAGTACCAAAGCCAGTTTCTGTTGAATTGCACTCCTTCCTGTAAAGCCCACCTACTCACCACAGTGCTAAAACAAACACATAAATACATTTTAATGTCATCACCTCTCACTTCCACTCCACCAACACTGCACTCACTCCGCCAGGACTCATTCCAACACCACCCTAGTTTTACAAACAATGATTAAAGTCAAACTGTGACAGTGAGCTACTCCAATATATCCCTGTACACTGGAATATCTATCAGTATGCCCACCAACTGTAACTTCCATCACTTCAACTGTTCATTGTTAAATAGTGCTGCACAATATTCAAATTGTAGTCAAAATCACAAGAGGCACAGTTTTTAATATATTGTTTACTAAATACTGCGCTTCCTATGTATGACATAGCTACGGCAACATACAGTATGTGTAAATATAAACTATTCTGAATTAAGGTTTATGGCATTTTATAGATGACCCTGCCTACAAATAAGATTAATACAGACAGAAAAAAAACATCTTTGTCTGTTTTAGATCTTCTTAAATAATCACTACATGATCATTTAAAATATAACATTATAATAATCACAATTGGGCTAACAGACAGCTCAGTGGTTAAAGCTGGTGGCCCACATACATCCAGTGTCCGCTGCCTAGTACAAGGGTTTGAATCCAGCTCTCCAAACATCCCAATGTGCTTCCCTTTGTCTCCCACCGTCAGCACTGTATCTCTCAATAAAGGCACCTTCTGGTCCAAAACATATTTATAAATAATAACACTGAAGTCTCCTCCTGACTGTCTCCTCCTGACTTTCTCCCTCAGGTTCAGCTGGAAGGTGGACGGCAGCAGTATAAGCCCGTTGTCATGGCGCTGACGGAGAAGGACATCTTGCTGTTTCAGGCGGTGCCGTGGAGCAGAGAGTCCTGGTCCACGCCTCTGCTCACACACCCACTGCTGGCCACAAGGTGAGGGGCACCTAGAGCCGTAAGGATAAAAGTTCACTGTCCTCAAACTGTAATCAAATCATTCCTTCATGGTACAGATAGTAATATTAAAATGCATTTTTGATATGACAATTTTCCAACGTATCAATACGGGTTGCATAATTCATTGTAAAATGTATGGACATGTGCCATATTGCAGTAAGCATAATATTAAGTTAATCTTAGATATCTAAATGAAGCATTGTTGAGATGCAGAGAGGTGTGGGCTTTCTAACATACCTTGTTTGGTACAGTAATTTTGTTTTTATATGATTTCCAGGTCGACACAATCTCTTTTAGCCTTCTGCAATATACAATCATAGCACACATCAATGTATCCCATATACTGGACAGTACAGAGACTCACTGACCTATAAACATGCTTTAAAATAAATAATGAACAAAAATGAAAAGAAACAGTAACAAGGTTGTTGGTGTTTACCTCGATGATGTGCATGCCCCCTCGTCCTCAGAAAGAGCACTAACTAGACGGGTCAGTGTTGTGTCATGGACAGCAAGAGGAGCTTAACACTGACTATAATCCATGTGCTAGATGTTACTGTGCCCTCACACATGTCTCCCCTCAGGCTGGTTCACTCTGGCAGTGCTCGGGGGTCTCCTGCTCAGGGGTCAGACCTGGTGTTTGCCACCCGGACGGGCACAGGGCGGGGCATCGAGTCCCACATCTTCAGAGTGGAGACCCACTGGGACCTGTCGTCATGGACGCGAGCCCTCGTGCAGGGGGCGCACGCCGCGGCTGAGCTCATCAAAGAAGTCTCCATCGGTGAGTGTGAGCATGAGTGATTCCAGTTTAGAGTCAGCAGTGAAATACCCTGAGGACATCGATCCTGGTCGCCTTTGTTGGAGCAAACACAGTAGTGGTGGTTTAAAGCCCACCTCCGCTCCGCGCCGTCCGTTTGATGAGCCTGGTCAGATTTAATAAAATAAGTTCAAAACACCGGCATAAAAGTTATAATAATAATCTGATTTTAATGGTAAAAAACACAATACGAAATACAGAGTGCCCTGTAACAGAGCACTCCGGGCTCCCCGCTCTACTGCCGTGCGATACAGATATCGGGACCAGCCAGTCAGAAACAGGGGGCATTTTGCATGAATAAACCACAGTATATGTAGACATATTTGGGGCGGAGTTGTGCTGGCTCTTCCGTCCCATTTTACTCCTAAGCGAATCAGAGAGTCCGTGGGGAGGAGTTGCGTCGGCTGCTCACTCCCCTAGGTGTTCTTACTGGTTGGATTCACTTCGGGTCGGGCCCAATACAGCGAATCAGAGTTCTGGGAAAAAGTATTTTACTTCTGAACAGAGCGTGAGAGCTTCGGAAGTAAACAAGGACGGAGTCAATCTTTATCTTCCACCTGACTTCACTCTATTCACTATTTCACACAAACTATTCCTTCCCAGACAATCAAACATTGTACACAGATATATTGGTGCTTGAGATTATATTGGCCCCAGAAAGAACCTTGAAAAGAATATGTGTGTGTGCTGGTGGAAGGAGGTGTATGTGTGGGTAGCAGGGTATCTGGGTCATTGAGTGTAAGTGAGAAGGTTATATATATAGGATTACTTAAAACAGTCCAAAATAATACATGTTTACTTCAATACAGTTCAAGATAATACCTGTTTACTTTAATACAGTTTAGAACAATATCTGTTTACTTTACCTTAAGGCCAGAACCAACTTCCATGGAAACATGTTCTAATTTTCGAACTGTTAAACATGGTTTTCTGTCTTTTAATTAATTATTTTGTGTGTTTTGTATTTCTTCTCAATGTATTGTGTTTTCTCTGTTTGATCCTGTAAAGCACTTTGAATTGCATTACTGTATGAATTGTGCTATACAAATACATTCCCTTGCCTTGCCTTGTTGTTTGAAACGTGCATGGCTGTTGCTCTTATATTTATAACTTATAGCAGGCTGAACATTGGAACATCTCCTTTGTATTGTTGTATAATTCAAACATGTTGGGATACCTTCCAGTATTGGCTAACTTATAAGCAGCGGTGCACATAACTTTTTTGCCCTGGTTCTCAAAGGAGCACCTGGAGATGTTGCTTGAAGCGCACTTCCTTAAAATGAAATAAACCGTACCTTTTGAGGGGTTCTTGACTTTATGAACGGGGGGGGGGGAGGTGCGCTAGTGAGCACGCTCATGAACTGTTCGCCGGAGCCTCGCAGCGGGGTTACTGTGCGGAGCACATAAAGCAGACCAGGGTCGGCGTCATGGGGGGTCATTCGCGGGCCATGCCCCCCCAAATGAGTCACTGTGCCCCCCCAACGCAGGGTGGGCAAGCCTTGCCACTTTGCCGTTTTTTTAAAATTTTTAAATCATATAAGTGAAAACGTTTTGTGTGAAATACATCAGAAATAAAGAATACAAATATAAAACACAGCCTGAGGTGTGCTCACTGCTGCTCTCTGATTGGTGTGTTGCTTGACCAATGACCCCCGACCTTTGTTTTGTTATCATTACGTGGCTGTGTGTTTAGATGAAAGCCCAGTGGCGATCTGTTAATCTGTTACACTGATTATACAGTAAAGCCATCGAAAATAATACGATATACAGTACAGTAGAAGTAGCCTACTTCTGGGTCTCTGTGTTTCATTCAAGCTCGGCTCTGTGTGTGTGTGGCACGAGCGCATTTTGTGAGTTAGCTAGCTATGCTAACGGATATAAAGAGCTGTTTCTACACCAAGGTGGAGGAGAGTCCTCTCCTGTCAGACTGAGAGGATCTTATAACGTCAGCTCAGTGAGGTAAGGACTCTCTCAGTGTTTAGATAGTTCACTTTAGTGTAGGTTAACTTATCTCAGTGGGTCTCAAACGGTTTGGTCACCATTTATGTAAACAAGTATTTGCGAGGAATACCTTTATATGATCATTATAGTTATTAAAGAATAAGAGAATACATGAAAAACGGGTATAAAATACTATAGGACAGTAACACAAGAATACAGTTTAAAAGGGGAGTGATTAGTAAAATATCCATAAAGAAAAAGTACATTTGTGTACAGTTCTGTTTCATATGGATGCTGAGGCTATCCATAGATCTCTTCATTTTGCTCTCAAAGTGCACCAGATTGATGCATTTAACTTCAATATTTTAAAAATAATCTTCCCGGGGGAGCATGCCCCAGACCCTCCTAGAGGAGGTTAGGTCCACCCCCACCTAAAACATGTTCACATGGATAGGATACTAAATACATTTGCACACTTTTTTGTATGGTGGCCTATGTCCATATGTTTCTGTTTTGGTGGTCGTGCCACAATCGTGCATGTATGCACAAGTCATAGGTGCGCTATACAATAGCACTACACCCTGCAATGTGTGTGAAAAACAATAGACTTAAGTTTACAGCATGTTTTTTGAAGTTGCGTTGGTGTTTGTGTGTTGGTTGTTGACGGCAGTGTGTGCCCCCCCTTGGTAAATGATTTCCCCCCCCATTCGATTTGTTCTAGAGCCGACCCTGAAGCAGACCCTTCACGCGATAGCGAGGGGTAGAGCGAGGGATCGCAGATGCTGTCGTGCTCACAGACAGATACAAAAAATGTAACCTAAATGGCTCGCGAATTATAATTTGTAAAGTCTATGTGTGGGAAACCCTGCTATCTTACCAGTTCTTATGCAACTCACAAATCTCTCTCTCTCTCTCTCAATGTTGGTGCACAAATGCGCTTTTTTCAAATGATCCGGTGCTCTTTTTTTGGCGGGGCAACAGTTATGTGCAGCCCTGCTTATAATGACCAAAATGTTCCTAAGTTAACATATGATAATATAAAGTGTGGCCTTCAATTAGAGAACAAAAAATGGCAAATTATTTCATTCACAAATTTCCTTTTCTCCAAATTTCTACCGTGTTATGTTTTTTAATGACAGGGTCAGTGGCGGCTGGTGGAAAATATTTTTGGTGGGGCTTTTGATATAGTGAGTAAAAAAAATTTTTTTGGGAGAAATTACCCCTTAAATTAGGACTTCTGGTGATGTAATGGCGCGTTTCCAGTGCAGCGTGGAGCTCGCTTTAATGCTGTGTTCAGACCGGACGCGATGCGAATATTCGCTTCGCTCTAAACGCTCCTATCGCATCGCTCTAGTCGCTCGAGTTTCACCGCGGCTGCCAGCTGTGTTTACTCGCATCATTCAAACAAGACGCGCTGGCTCGGGAGCTACAACTACAACAAAATGAACATATTTTACCGTGATTAAATTGTAATACACGTTTCTAAATTATGCCGACGTAACAACATACTGATACCGGTTAGTAAAAACCATGAATTAATGCTTTGACAAGTCTGCAGACAGACGGCAGGCGAAAAACCTTTTAGAATGCTTGTTTTCTGAATGGAGCTTGGCAAAGCTAACGTTATATATGCTCCGACCGTCCACACTCACAACAACGGCCTATACAGACATAAATAAACCAGCGACTGTATTCTCCATGACACAAACAGTCTGTGGTTTGTACTTGTTTAACTTTTGTCTAGTTTCTGAACAGATCTGCCTGTCCCCGGCTGTTTGAAGAGCAAGCATGGGAAACAAAAGATAGCATTTACCTGTTTGCATCGTTTGCATCCAGCTAGCCTCGTTGATACGTTTTGTCTTTTTCACGAGCTTGCTGCGATATATACAAATCGGGTTGGTCCGGTCCAAGGTCTTTAAGTATCAATTTATCTCCCAAACTTCTCCTTTGGAAAGGATTGGAGAGTAGCTCTTGCACGGAATTGGGTGCGGACCGAGGTCCGGCGACTCCACCTGCACACCATTCTAAATACTGCCTCACCTTGGTCACTCACGAGTCTAAAAAACAACTCACGTCAACGCACGTAAGCAACGTGGGCGCCAACGTGAGCGCCCTCGTGACCAAAATATTTGACGGCGCTGATTGGCTGAAATTATGTTTCGGCGGCACAGTTTACTATTGAGACTTTTGCAACGTGCTGGTTGCTGCTGTTTGGCTCGGGGGCTCCGCCCGGTAATGATAAACTAATGCCATGGGCAAGGCCAGGCAGGAAACATGTGACTTATCAGTAACTTTAGACATCGTAACACAATTTTAAACGAGATTTTATTGTAGATTTGTTACGTCCCCAGCTCGCTTATGGTAAAAGGGAAGCAACACGAGACCAGGTGTTCTTGGTAAGAGGTTGATTTTAATAATAAACTCAAAATAAAGATGATATAACCGAAAATACAGGCTCTTAAAACCAGCTATCTGTTCAAAATATTGCAACACAAAACGAAGGCCACAGATTATCACAGTCATGGGCACTTACGGCTAAAATAGTGAGGCGTCTCGCACAAGTTCGACGCCGTCACAAATCACAGAATACACACACAACACACATCCTAACTAACCACTATAACAGAACTAGCACAAAGCTACACAGAACATAAGGAGAGCACCGAGAGACGTCTGACACAGATTCAGACCTCTCCTGTCTAATTGAGATGCATACACTCTTTTAAGAGTCCCCGGAAGGTGTGGGCAGGGATTGGTGAGTCGGGCCCGACCTGCTCCAATCCAGATCTTCGGTCACGCCTACCGGAGGAGGGACAGGAAACTGGCATCCAATGGCGTCCGGGCAACGGCGCATCTCATATATATATTACATACACAGCTGAAAACAATCCTAGACAGGTTAACGAGCAGACAGCAGCAGCAGCCGTGACACCCCCCCCCCCCCTTAAGACACAAACTCACAGTTTTGTTAACCATGCCTACTACTAACCCTACCTAATCATTCTGAAGGACTAAAAGACTAC